GGTGTGCAAATGGGAAAGCAGCCTGAAGATGGAGCAGGCAAGGCAGGTGCGGTTGGTCAGTAGGTTTGCCAGTAAAAGGTGCAGTTGGATGACCAAGCAGAAGGGGAATCTGAATTTGGTAACTAAAAGGTTACTGAGATGTTTGAGTTAATGCTGGGGACAGATTAGGGGGCCATGGAGAACTGCAGGCTTGGTTACAGTGGCATAATAAAAGGCCCAGGGCTGGGCTGGAGATGGGCTAGTGGCTGGCCACACGGAGGAGACCATCATTGCAGAGGGGACTGCTGGAGGAAGGGACCTCTTCACTTCCCACTGCTTTGGACCCAGAGTGGCTGGATCTAATGGTTTCTCAGGTGGGGCTAAAACTTCGGTTTGCATGTGAAATCCGAGCTCTTCAAAGTTGCCAACTACCTTGAAATATAAAATTTGTCTGATTGGTTCGATAGAAAGACCCTGGGGGAGGTTGTAGCGCTGGCCATCATCCCCCTCCCTTTTTGTTAAAGGTGTTAGTGAATGGAGGGGAGAAGGTGCTATAGAGTTCAGGTGAGGAGATTTGAAAAGGAGGGAGAGACCAGGAGCCCAGGCCCTCAGTTCTGGGTCCCGTGCTCAAGCCAGTGGACTGCTGCAGAGTTCAGCCGGGAGCAGGAAGGGCTGGTGGGCTGGCAGCCTGGCGGAGGGGAAGGGCGCCTTTTCTCTGAGCATCTGGGCACGCAGCCTGAGAGGAGCCCACATGCAGGCTTCTTTGTCAGAATCATCCCTCCACCATTAGGGTCCAAGGTGGCACCAGGGGCTTGAGGAAGGTGGGAAAGTTTGGGGATGGCTTGTAAGAGAAGCAAACGGCAGCCCACCCGGACACTTGAGAACAGGATTTTGGCACAGCCTCTCTCGATATTTGAGCCTCATTGTTCTGTGTTGTGGGGGCTGCCCTGTGCGCTGCGGGCTGTTCAGTGGGATCCTGGTCGCAGTAGATGCCAGTTACCCCCAAACACCCCACTTGGCCTGAGCCTCTGAACCTGGCTTCAGCGTGCTGATGGGACATCAGAGATGGGCCTTGGAGTCTGTGGTGATGTGATTCCCCTGCCTCTCCCACCCCTGCCAGCCTCACAGAGAGGGAGAGCTCTGGTAGGAGTGGGTGGGGCTGGAGGAGGTCCCTGTAGGAAGGAGGTTGGGCTGGCAAGGACAGGGCGCAGTTGAAGGAATGTGAGCTCAGGTCACTGACAGCTCTTACCTCAGCATCAGGCAGCGGTGTCTGACACGGCACGGCACGGCAAAGGCATGTGCCGTGAGGGCTGAGGGCACCTGGAACAGTCCTGAGCACGTGGGAGGTGGTAGCTCCAACTGTTGTTAGTCTTCCTAGTTGTGAGAGGCAGAAAACTAACTTATTCTACTTAACCAAAAAAAGAAAAAGGAAAAACATGGGTCCTAGGATTGGGGAGCGCCGTTTCCGAAGGAACACCAGGAAGCCGTTACCAGAAGCTTATGCTTTTAAGAATACAGATTGTCACTGCTGTGCTTCCTGTGCGCCCTGCACCAGTCCCCCATCTGGTTCATGTGGTCAGTGCCCACGTGACTGCTTTATGGGCCTCCTTCCTGCCTCCTGGGCTGGTGCTGAGTTGGACTGTCAGCTCCCCACTGGTGGGCACTTTAGGTTGTTGCCTGTCTGTGCTATTAAAAGCAGCGCGGGGGTCCCCTTGGTCTCTGGGATTCTAGCTCTAGTAGATGCTAGCTGCCCTGGAGGCAGTACCTTAGTGAGTTTGGGGGCCTCAGGAAACTCCGATCTGCTACCACCCAGACCCCCACGCCCGAGATTTGCCCCGTCTTCCAGCCCCACCTTTATGCCCGTGGGGAGACTGGGGGTCTGGGTTGCAATCTGTAGTCTGAACTTCCCTGAGGGGTACATGTCTTTCTGTAGGAGCCTGGTGGTCTCGGGCTTTCGGCTTGGCCCACTCTGGACTGTAGGGGGATGGTGTCTCCCCTGCTGCAGAGGAGAGAGGGTCGCATGCTCCTCCAGCGCTGCTTCCCCTTGGCCTGTGGCTGTGGGCTCCCCCCCCGGCCAGCCAGGCCACTCCTAGTGCCCAGTCGTCATGACCCAGGTGGTTGGCAGCTGGTGTGAGGTGATTTGACTTCTGAATTAGTCACTTTTGGGGGTGTGCTTTGACTCAGCTGGACGCTCAGCTGTTAACTCAATGCCTCTCACTTTGGAACAAGCTTAAAATGCACACAAACACTGCTTTATCAGGCAGCTATATGGCAGCCATGTTACCCGTCCCGCCTGGTGCCAACTGAATAAGCTGCCTCGGAGCCTGGGCTGTCCCTTTCAGCACCCTGATGGGGCTGTGACAGTCACCAGACACAGAGCAGGAGTCTTTGGGCCTCCTCCAGCTATGTCCTGTCAGGCCTCTGTTCTTTCCTTAGGGAGATGGCCTGTCACCCCCATCTGTGGGTCCTTTGGGGGCCTTTTCTCTGGAACTGCTCAGGTAGCTGGGCAGGCAAGATTAGGTGTCTGGAGACTCAGGTGTTTAGAACTGGAATAGCGGTGTCAGAAGCATGTCCAGCTAGCCAAACTGTAGCAAACGATGGCTTCATTCATTCATTCATTCCATTCAGTAGAGACCTGTGTTGTGCTGGAGCAAGTGAGGATGGGACAGACCATTTTCTGCTTCAGAGAGATGTTAAATTAGTGGCAAGAAAGAGCCACCAAAAGAGGCCCTGCCTTTGTCTTTCTCCCCCATGGCCAGACAGACCTGGTACTGAATTTTTGTTTCTGTCATTTTCTAATTTGTGATTGCGTAGGCTTCTTGCCTGTGAAATGGGGAGATCAGAGTACTAGCGTCACTTGTCCTAAGGGCTCCAGGGGAAGGGATGCAGCGAGATGTCTGTCTGCAGTAAGTTCTCTCAAAACCAAAAACGCTAGCTGTTACTGCTGCCATTATTTGGGGGCTGTGATCGACCTTCAGTGACTCCTCATGGCACAAGATTTAGCAAGTGAAAAAGTAGTCATACGCTATATAGATCTTTTTGCTGTTTGGCTTGTTTAGGGGTTTGGAACGTGACTTATCTACCACGGTAGGTTTATTCTTCCTTTCTCTGGAGAAGCTCGTACCTGTCAGTACTTCTTCATGTGGTGGGCTGAGGGTGTTAGGGGCTGGATTCTGCCTGCTCTCTCTTTGTCTGGGCCCATCATGTGTTGAAGTCTGTCATTCAGGTGTCAGTCTTGTAGTAAACTGCAACTTCATGAGATAAAGGGCCTAGAATTATTTGAGATCAGCCAGACCCCCTTAATCAGAATCTCTTGAGAGTCACCATGTTAAATTTATTTCAGGGTATTTCTTTTATTCCTGTGGGGAAGGAACTGTGGAGACTCTAAGAGGTGTACGCATATTTTTAAATTAAGAGGTAGGGACTGTGCATTGCACTAAACAGTAACAGTAGCTATCTTTTATGCTTACTTAGTGTTTGCTGCCTCACCAGGCTTATCAGACACTCCTTTAAGCTCATGCCGAGGCCAGGAGGCAGGGATTGTTGTCCTTATTTCATAGTGCAGGGCTAACACGTATGCTCAGAGAGCCCAAGGATATATCTGCTTCTGGTGACTGTTGCAGCCCCACCAGGCTAGAAGGTGCCAGCTCAGGCACCGAGGCGGTTTATTTAGCTGGCATTTAGAGGGACAGATAACAAGGCTGCCATAGAGTTGCCTGATAAAGGCAATATTTGCAAGGGTTGGAGTTAGAGATCCCTTCATGGGGTGGGGGCAGGTGTAAGGAGGAGAAGTAGATGATGTCTGTATTCTGGGGTGGGAGGTGAAAAGATCAAGCAGGGTCTGTGAGGAAGGGCGTTGACTTGGGAGGGTGGGCGCACAGGGTCTGAGAAGGAAAGGCTGGAAGGGCCGAGGAGGAGGAGGGTGTCTGTGAACTGATCGTCTCATTCCTTTGCTGTCCTTTGTCTCCCTTCCTCCTTGGAATGAAGTTGGTAAGTGGAAAGGTGGGTGATGACTTGTCCTTTGAGACTCATGGTTGACCCGGGGAGACACATGACGTCCACATGACATGGTGTGGCTGCAGTCAGGAGTTAGCTCTCATTGACTGTAGAGACTTAGTAATCGGGAGGGAGGAGCTGGGTAATCTGCCAGCCTCGAAAAGTGGATGGGATCTGGAGAGGAGCGAACATACTGGCCAGGGGGATTGTGACATCAGAAATGCGACCTTGAGAATCATTGTATTTGCAGAGCTGGCCAGGAGCAGGAAGATATTTCACTGGAGAGGAGGGCAGGCCAGGGTGCTTTGACGGTGTGATGAAAGGTCAGGATGAAGAGGCAGCCTTGGCATGGTTCCTGGCCTGGGCATGGGTTGTGGTGCGGCCTTGTTGGCTTGCTAGATGGGCACTCTGGACCAGGAAAGATAATCCATAGCCCCTAGTTCCAGGAAGGTGGCGGAGCGCCCCTCCCTCAGAGAGTCTGGTCTCACCTAGGCCTTCTAATAGTCCTCTTGCTCCAAGTGTCTCCTGGCCCTGGCTGTGCGCTGCTGCCTTTGATGCTCAGTTTCCTCAGATTTTATCCAAATACAATTCTGGTGGGGGAGACTCTGGTGTGATTGGATCCTGGGTTCCTGGGGATGCTGATGGTTATAGAAAGGAGTTGCATTTTGAGGTGTGAATGAAAAGGAGGTCCGCTTATCACTTGGAGAAGCTTCTTGTACTGCCTGGTCTGAGAGGGTTCTATAATCCGAGCCGCAGAGGGAAGGGCGTTGCTTTGTGAAGATGTTGGGATAAATAAGTGGAGCCACCTCAGAGCCTCCTATGTTCTGGCCTTCCTGATACAGGCTTCCGGGCTAAGAAACTTGGCAGCCTCTCAGGTGTTGTGCTCACGCAGGGCAGAGGGGAGTCTTGCTTGGGGCTTGAAGAAGGCGCCTGCGGCTTGACCTGTTGACAGGAAATGGGGTGCCTTTTAGGACTGCAGTTTGTTGACTGACCATCCACTCAGCAAGTATCCCCTGGGGCATACCATGTGCCAGCCCAGGGCCCTGTCTGATGGTGGTGGTAGGGCACTGGTCCCTGTCCTGGTCACCTCTCTGCCCCTGGGTCTCATCTCCGAGAGAGCTGATGCTGTAGCCCTTGACTGTCAGGCTTTTTATAGTGGGCCAGTTGCTTTTTTCTCATGCTTCCCTTAATTTTTAAATTTCTTTGGCAGATAAAGCCACAGACCCAAGTATGTCAGAACAGGACTGGTCAGCTATCCAGAATTTCTGCGAGCAAGTGAATACTGATCCCAACGGGTAAGGTGTTCATTCATCCCATCGCACACATGCTTTTCCCAGAGATGCTCAGCTCAGGGCAAGCTTTTGCCTCCTGGGGCTGACACAGTTAGGCTTTCTTTCCTTCCCCACCCCCCTCCATTATGTACTGAGAATGTTATTTTTCTAGAAATAGCAGGCTCCTGTACAGAACAGTTGGCTTATAACTGGCTAATGTTATAAAACACCAGCGCTGAGGAGACCTGAATGTTCTGGAGAGAATGCATAGCAATATGAAGGAGATCAATGCATTTCCATCTTTTAAATGTAAATCTTTCATAAGAAAAAAGCAGAGAAAAGGGTGAGAACTTGTTGAATTCTGTTTCCAAGCATCAGGTTTACAATCGAAGAGTCAAGTCAGTCATCCGGGTGTCTAGTCATCCATGTGGCTCGGTTCTGAAATGGGCTAGCAGGTTGGCCACAGTGAACATGTGAAATGTGTCATATAATAGACTACAGGCAGCTTGACTTGGCAGAGCTAGCCACATTGGTTAGTTTTTCTTTTCCCCTTGGGTTCAGGTCTCTTTATTTTCCTATAGGCCAACACATGCGCCCTGGCTGCTGGCCCACAAGATCCAGTCTCCACAAGAGAAGGAAGCTCTCTACGGCTTAATGGTGAGTTTGGTTAGCTCCTTAAGCTGAGTGGTCCTGTCCTGGTGCTAGAGAGGGCTTGGCCAGGGCCCTTAGGGTGGGATGGAGAGTTTGTCTTCACCTGCCTGGGGAAGGAAGAGGTAGCAGCTCTGGGCTCAGATCGCCTCATCCTGGATCTCTGAAGAGCAGAGTTGCGCTTGCTGTAGGAGAAGGAAGGGAGGGTCTATTTCCTTTTACCCTTCATGGAGTGTCCCTAGCAAGTTCAAGTGCGCACAGAGCCAGAGTGGTCACATAACAGAGTGAGCTGCCAGCAGGGAGGAACCAAAATCCTGGAGCGCACACATGCAGTCTAGAGAAGGCAGCCGGAGCACTGGACAGATGACTGTTGCCAGACGTGAGCATGACTCAGTTGCTACAACTTCCTTTTTTTTTTTTTTTAATTATTACAAAAGTTTATTTTTACATCATTTTGCACATTTTTTTTTTCCATCTCGATTGTAATCCCTGCGGGTTTCCCATCACCAAATCA